CTCACACATTCGAAAAATGACACTGCTCAAGCTTAGCTCGTGAATTCCACCACAGCCTTCGTGTAGCCCTGGCTTAGCTCTTTCTGACTGCCATCTAAAATAATCCCTCAACGGCCACCTTCTGGGTGAAAAATACGATTTTTGAAGGCACCTCAAAAATGACCCAGCTGCCTTTTTCGACGCCGAACTAAAAAGGCAAGGCTGAGGGAAGGCAACCACTCCTTGCTTTGTGGTTGACACAAGTTGCCGATAAAGGTAATATATTGTTGATCAAAATTGCTTCTCACTGGAATAAAATTGACTTGAAAAGAACGCTCGAAATTGTCACGAACTTTTGGGACAACCTAATATTTAGAAATATCGATGAAATTGAATGGTTCCACAGTAGTAGACCTGATAAGCACAGTGAAAAATACCATACACTTTTCTGTTGCGCGGTTTTGACTGTCTTTGTGCCTTTCTTTGTAGTTTTATCGCAGGAAAAAAGAAAATAAGAAAGGGAAAACTAAGAAAAGAAGGATTTTAAAGAGGTATATGAATCAAAAAAGAGATATATGGAGGACTATATAGAACTTGCTGCTACAGATTTAATCCCGACGAGGTGTGCTTGCTTCCTCTCTGATTTTTTAATCAAAATTTAATCTCCTCACATCTGCTTATTGTTTTAAATTCCTGTTTTTTCCACTTACTATTCAGAAAGGGCGGACACTCACCACCCGGATTGAGTTTGCCGTAGATGATGTCAATGAATGACCCGAGCACGATGACGAAGTCGAACGCATTCCAGCGATCACCGAAGTAGTTTTTTGGATTCAATGCTGAAAATTCCGTGATTAAAACAGTAGCACCGGATAAGGAATATTGAAAAAATTCGCCACTCTTAGCTTATGATCGCTGACGGACTGAGTCGGCGCAGTCCGGCGACGGGGAGGGGCATCACGCACTTTTGCTGCTTCCCATCGAGTGTCGACCTATTTGACAGCCTCTTCTCGAGTTGACAGGTTTTACCATGATGGCTTGACGAGCTTGCTCCAGCTTCACAAGAGTTCACAGGTTTCACCAGAGTGAGACTTGTAAACCGGAACTAGTGAAGCAACGAAAGTGCAAAATGCCCCCCCCCATCGCCGAACTGCGCCGACTGAGTCTGTTATGCAATTGCAAGGCGGATACGGAGTAGATCATCAGTACGCAATTTGTATTGACACGGTAATCCAGAAGCAGATTCCACATCATTGATGAGAGTAGAAAAAACCGTTCTTTCTGACGGCGCTCCTCCTTGAAACCGTACCACAAGGAAGGAACCAACCAAACTTTTTGGCCCTCCCCTGCAGAGTTCATAGAAAATCATGGAGGCCACGCGCTCGCGGCATCTCAAAAAGGAACCGATCTCTACCTGGTGGGACGCTAGCTCACTTCTGAACTATTCACATTGGAACAATCAAGTGCGGGAGAACTCAATGTTCAGTTCAATTTGTCCCATACCAGTTTTCATACTCCGACGAACGCCGCGCTTCCATTTTAATGTGAATGCTACGCTGGCTGCCACAGCTTTGATAGCAGACCTACTAACTGGAGTGTTATACAACCAGGGTACAGCATCGTGATGTGTGAAATGGTGGTGTCAGTACGACCCCCCCCCTCCACCACCTAAGGGACAGTCTCGGTACGCCCCTCACCCTTCCCCAATACAGCCCATGTGAAACGGGTAAAGCAGCGAAAACGCAAATGTTTCTCAAACGCACAGACGCCACCCCCCCCCCTCTCCCAATAACGACCAAATACGACCATCTCCCTCCGCAGAAGCCAAGTACGAGCCCTACCATCACCCGTTTTTCACACAACGATGCTTTACCTTGTAAGCAACAGAAAAGGATGCTGTCACGATTTCTTCTACCAACATCTTGATTCATTGTGCGAACTTGTGCACAAAATTACAAAGAAATCGACGCAAGACTCAACTGTGAAAAACCCAAGTTCTACAATGAACATGAAAATGAAATGGAATTTCATACCTATAATTTTGAAGAAAGCTTCGAACGCGAATACTCCAGTGAAAACGAGATTCAGCACATCAAGGACATACTCGAAGCGATGCCCAGAAGGGTAATGCTTGCATGCTAACGAGACCGTATTGAGTACGATGATTAGAAAAATCACATATTCAAAGGCACGTGATGTAACAAACCACCTGAAACGACAATATTTGCCTTGTCGGACATTCAGATCCTATTCAGAACTCCTAAGCAAAGAAGCTTACCACACACGATACTGGAAGCGATTTCTGGGGATGTAGCGACGATGTGGCTTGGCTTTCAAGGCAAACTCAATGCATTTCCTCTGAAGTAACAGAATTCAGATCCAAAGTCGAATTATACGGAGATGAGAAAGTTTATCTCAAGGTTTTTATTTCATCTTTCGTGGCAGAATAAAAGCAAGCGCGAATGCTAGATATAGAGATAGTCCTCATTCCGGCACTTGATTAGGCGGCCAAGGGTCGCGACGCGGCTGCGGCGTGTCACGAGCGCGGCGATCAGCTGTTTCCAGCCTATTTTAGCCATTTTCTCCCTAATTTACACTGTTTTGGCTGCTTTTCTCAAGATTAGTTGTTCCTTGTCTTCACAAGGTAAATTATGATTGAGATTCCTCTGATTTTGCGTACCATTAAACAGTCAAGATATTAGCAAGTTTTGAACAAATACCTGAAAAAAAATTGCAAAAACCCTGTGGATGAACAAAAAAAAGTACACATCCTAACACACTTCATAAAGGAATAAAACAACTTACCCTGGAAAAATATAAAATACACTGAAAATTAGGGAGAAAATGGCCAAATTAGGCCGGAAACAGCTGATCGCCGCGGTCGTGACGCGCTGCAGCCGCGTCGCGACCCTTGGCCGCCTAATCAAGTGCCCAGATGACGACTGTAGAATAGTTAGAACAGTGCACAAAAGGCCCATCAGAGTTAGTTATCGTCCACTTCAGAGGGCAAAATGAGGCGTATACGCGACAACTGCGCAATGGCGAGCCGACCCTCCTTCCTATGCATACAGAAGTCTGGACCTCTTTTACACTCTCGTAGTCCACGCCTCTGCTCCCTGATATAGACTCTGTGCCATAAATACTAACGATGGGATGACAAGGTCTGTTACAAATTAGGGCCACATTTTGCTTTGCCTACGTAACCACTGAGTTCGAATTGGCTTGATACAATGCCATACAGCAACAGCATTGTGATGTGTGAAATCGCTAAGTCATTACGACCCTCCCCTCAGATTTCCTAATCTGGTACGACCACCATCCCCCCTCCGCTATCGTGCCTACCATCCTGTTATTGAATTTTTTCGACTTCCTGTCACCTTTTCAGAAATTTTGCCAGTGGCTCCCAAAAGCTGCTGTCGAGCGGAGGGATGGGGGAGGGTCATCACCAGTCATCAATTAATTTCGACTATCGTAACAGAAGTGTGTTTTAGCGGCAGTAGTTATGGCAGAGCGAGTTGTCGTCTAGAAAACAATCGGGAAGAATTTTCCGAAAGGCAAGTACAACCCCCTCATCCCCTCTAATGGGGATTCTCAACGGGTGCAACTCTGATACAGAAAGTGAATTCTGGTTAGTGGATCCCTTACGACGAAAAAAGCGGCGCATCTGGTTCCAGTACGGCGCGCGCAGCTGATGCAGCAGGGAGAGTCACAGCACAGGGTATAGCATCGTTGTGTGAAGCACACTGGGTGCCGTATTTTCCTGCTGGGAAGTGGAGCCGTATTTGGTCGTTGTTGGGAGAGGGGGGGGGTGTTGTGTGGTTTTGAGAGGAATTTGCCGCGTTGGGAAGAAATTTTCCTCGACTGTTGGCTTTTCGCGTGATTTTGCCTGTTTCATGTGTAATGTACTATACCCCTCCCCCTTACCTCTAAGCATCTTGGACGGAAAAGTTTAAGTGAGAAACTGCAAAATGTGGGAAATTGGTAGGTAGGTGTGATGCGGAAGGAAGGGGGGTCTATCGAGACCTTCAGGGGTCGCACTAACCCGCTCTCTCGAGCAGAGAATAGATGTGTTTTAGGCACATAGGGGGTCAGCCTATTCCTTTCGAAACTAGCCCGTGCCATGGCGTCAAGAACTGCTGGAGACGGGCTTCCACCGCATCAAAACGCACGCTCGCAGGACGCCTCACCCCACGCTCCGTTAGGCGCTATATGTGGCTCAGTTTCTAAATAGTGCCACAAAAGG